CATCCACTTTCACCTACAGCCAAGGAATGCTGTATTTCTATGTTGGTTGAGGCAATATGTGAACCCAGAACTCTTGGCTGTTGAGAAACAACAAATGGGAGTTTTCTGCTAAGTTAAATCTCCTGGTTCTTTTGCCCTTCAATACCCTGGAATTCCAGGTTTGCACATCATGTCAAGCAACCCAGAAACAGACTATTTATGGCTTGTTATGGAAAGCAAATGCAAGGCAGATGGGGCAAGCATAAAGGAATGATTTTATGTGCAAACCAGGACATTTACTTGAAATGAGTGCAACCTGTTTCTACATAAAAACTATTGGCTTTAAGTAGCACAAGAAACTGACGATCACTTAGATACTTTAGGGATTCAAATGAAGCACAAGAACATAAACTAAATTATATAGTTACACACACACACACACACACACACACACACACACTCATACTAAGGATGAAGTATACAATTACACCAATTTAATACTGCAAGCCTTGTAAGGATGTTGTTCCTACATTGCAGATATGGGCACCAGTACCCAAAAGTCTTTATCAAGTTACATGACTCTGGCTGTGTTTTTATAAGAAATCATGAATACCATATAAGATACAATGCACGATATCTTAAGTTGTGAATAGCAATAACTACACATAACATACCACAATTAAAAACATAGTAATACATCTAAGTGATGTCACTAACAAAGGCCAGATGACATTTTTAAAAGCTTTATAGTCCTTCCAAGATGTTAGTAACAAAGTACAGAGTTAAGTACTCCTACAGCTTTGGAACCATTGCTGTAATTGCTGTATACTCTCTCATAACACTTCCTACTGGAAAAGGAAGGGATTATTTTTACAGTACCCAAGAGCGAGCCCAGTAACACTGATATATTATTTGAGCTGCACAACTGCTCATTTTCCTTGCACTGACTGATTAAGAGGGGTCTGGTATATTGTAGATGTGGAAACATGGGAGCATCTAATCTCTGTCTAACTTTTAAATACTAACCTGGATAATCAATAGTTACTGGCTGCACAGTGTTCAGATTTCCATGCCAGTGATTTAAAAGGTAGGAACTTACAACTTTCCAACTTTGAGAGCTCAACTTTTCAAATTCTTTTTTTAATTGTGGGTTATTATGAATGAGCGACTAGACAAATTATTCTTTTACTCTAGCTTGCTTACCGCTATGTGAAAGCCAGGATCATTATGTTAGGAAACACAGTGTGCAAACACTGATAAGCCAGAGTTTCAAGCTCACATGAAATAATACAGCCATGATGAAAGCTCTGTAGATGGTTGAGATTCATTAATAATAACCCACATGCATATGATGGGCCTTTCTAAGCCTACCAGTCTTCCATCTCTTTTAAGCTTGAGTTTCATCTCAAAAACAAGGAAAGGAGAATGTTCAGAACTGACACACTTCCTTTACAGCAGCATGGCCATTATCTTAGTTTTTCCTTATTTCATTTATCATATGTTCACTGTTAACCAGATAATCTTTATTAAGTGATTAATAGTCCAAGTCAAAACTGGAGAAATTTTAACTCTTGTTTGCATTTTTTTTCTTCACAGAAGACTGATTTTTCTAGAGTATTAGATTACTACAAATGGAACTACTCAAAACGTATGCCAACATATTTTTTACCATCAAGGTGCCATGATGTTCTTTGTCCTGTCTCTTTCACAGTCTCTTAATTTTTGCTGCTGAGATGGACTAATACTATGTGACTTGAAAAGACAAGCTACACCAGTGTAAAGTAGAATAGTCGTTAAAGTGTTGGACAGGGATCTGGGTTCTAGTCCCCCTCCCCACCACAAAAATCACTGGATGACTTAGGGCCTGTCACTGACTCTTGTTTTAACCTACTTCACAGGATTGTTGTAAGGATGAGAGGAAGAGGATAATGTGGGCCACCTAGAGTTCCTTGAAAGAAAAAAAGAAAGGATATAAAATGTCTTAATAAATATGAATAAACCACAAACTATCATATTATTTGAAATCTTGCATATCCGCACATCATAAAGTCTTCCCACTTTCCCCATCAATAGAGTTGAAATGTGCGCAGAAGATTCAGAGCAGGACACAGAGCAAGGAGGTATTGTTCCATAGTCTCCAAACACTGAGATTATCTAGGAAGCTTCAAGAGAAACACAGTAACCAACTTTTACTGTGAAGTGGCATTTTAAAAATCTTCCTTCATTCAGAACTTTGTAAGGAAGATTTATTTATTTATTTATTTATTTATTTATTTATTGCACTTTTATACTGCCTCACAGCCCATAGGCACTCTGGGCAGTTTACAAATGTAACACATATAAACAACCAGTAAAATTATCACATTTAAATAAAACAATAAATTATAAAACCAGTACAGCAAGATCAACAACCCATAGCAACTATAATAAGATTGATACACAGCATAGCAGCAATAATAAAAAAAACAGTATTAAAACAATTCTTATCTATTAAAATATCTTATCTGGAAAATAAACAGGTTTTATTTTAAACTAATACCGAAAAGAAGGCAAAGATGGCACCAAGCACACCTCCTTAAGAAGCATGTTCCAAAGATGGGGTGCTACTACTGAGAAGGCACTTCTCCTGGTCACCACCCCCTTACTTCCTGAGTGGGGTCCCTAAGAAGGACCTCGGCAGATGATCTTAGGACCAGGTAGAAACATACAGGAGAAGCTGTTTCTTCAGATAACACTGCCTCAAGTCATTTAGGGATTTAAATGTTAGCACCAGCACTTTGAATTGGACCCAGACTTCAATTGGGAGTCAATGAAGCTGAAAGAGATCTGGCATGATATGACCCCATGAGCCAGTCTGCGTTAGCCCCTGCACTGCCCTATTCTGAATCAGTTGGAATTTCCAGACCATTTTCAAAGGTAACCCCACACAGAGCATGCTACTGTAATCCAAATGAAAGGTTATCAGAGCATGGATAACTGAAGCCAGTTATTCTTAAAAACATTCTTAAAAGTGAGATCTAGGCCATCACCTCCAGTTCTTCCCTGATTCTTCAGAAAGTGTTCGGTATTTGTCCTTAAATCACAGTTTGAATTTCAAAACCCTTTCCCCACAAACAATGCATAATTCCTAAAAGAGAAGAAACTATTACAATTACCAAATTTACATTTACACACAATGCCAATATATGGTTTGTGTAACTCATAGTTTACTGAATTCTGTTTGTCATGTAATGTGAATTGGACAATGCTAACAAACCATGATTTCTTAATCATGAACAACCCAGAAAGATGCTTACTTGATGGTCTGCTAACTGATGAGGTTGTTTAAAATAATGGTTGCCATTACAAAAGTGTGGGTTGTTTATGAGTTTTATTAGGCTACAGAGGCAGCATGCAAGAGAAATTAAAAAAAAAAGCCAAAGACAATTGTGAAACAGGGAGGTAAAGGAGAAGGAGGGAGAAAAGCTCAGGGATTGAGAAAACATACCAAGTTTTGTTTGACCATGGGCTATAATTACATGCAAATCAGGCCACCATCTCAGACAAAAGTCCAAACTCTTAACATCTGCTCAGTCCAAAACCTTCCCAAAAAGCCCATGCTATCAGCACATCTTTACTGGCTGAATCTGTCATAACAAAGCATTTCCTTTATTCCCATATTAGGTGAAAGGCCATACATTATACTTAGGCAATTTCTGAAGGTTTTTAATGCTCCTCTTTATGTTAGGTAGAAAGGTGATTAAAACTCTATGCAAATCTTCCAGACCATTCACTCATTCTTAAAGCAAATGCTGGAATCTTATGGAGTCGTCAATTAAAATAAAAGATATTGTTTCAAATTAAGCTACTACCAAGGACTTTTCTAAACACTCACAAGGTAATTCTATAGTGTTCTACTAGTGCTAACCATATGGCTAGATATCTGGTCATCATATTGGTTTGGTAGCAGTGGGAGTAGCCATTATGGGCAAGTCATGCAGGATATTTTTTTTGTTTTTTTAAGTTGTATATAGCACAAAGTTTCCTGAAGAAAAGATACCAATGTGGAGATATGTTTTTGTTGTTGCCTTGTTAAAGTACATTTACAAGCAAATGAGAAACAATTAAAGTGCCTCAACCTGAGCACCATATTTTGAAAAATAAACACATAGCACTATCCATTAGGTGACCACACCATCACTGCAGACATCTTGTCAAACAGACATTTTCACCGGAGGCAAAAAAGGGAATCTGAGTGTTGGGATGCAGTTAAATCTGCCCAATAAACTGGCCTAAGGTTGCAATTCCGTGGCCTCTTACAAGAAAATATATTCCACTAATGAGCACTTTATCTATAAATATATAGGCCAAGGCATAGGCCACACAAAGCCCTCAATGGTATACATCAACAGTCTAGTTTTTTAACCATTTCACCTAACAGGCTGAGAACTCCAGTCCACTGAGCAGCCCAGGGGCGCCACACATTGCGCGATTTTAGGCATTTTTCCGGCAGCAACAGTGGTGTTGGACACAGCCGTGGAGTGTCACTGTGGTACTTCACAAGAGAGAATGTCAGGACCTGAAGCTTTACAAAACCACAGAAAGGATGCCCCAGCACCGCCTCTTTTTGAGTGAACAGAGGCACTCACTGGAATGACTGAAAGAAGGCTCCAGAGCGGAATGACCCCTCCAACTCAAATTCTTACTCCCCTCTTATACTCTTAGGAGGGAAACAGCAATGATGGACGAGAACGCTTCCTCTCCTCAGCCTCATACTGAACAAGTGCATCCAGCTTCTACGCCCTCCTTCCTAACTCTCTCCTTCTCCTAGCCCAGACAGGCGTACCCGCGGCCGCCGTTTATCCCTCCCCGATAAGCCTGCCTATGCCTCCTGGCCAACCTCCGCCCCCGCTCGGGAAGGGAGTGCCAAGGAAGGCGGTAGCAACCACCCCTGTCTGCTCCTCCTCCCCATCCTCCGCTCGACCGGTCCTTTCTCTCCCTAATGAGGTTGCCGAGGCGGCCGAAAGCCAGCAGGGCCTCACCTCAGGATGCAGGATAGGGACGCAACCCGCTTCTTTCTCGTACTCATCCAGAGGCGCCGCCATCTTGGTGCGAACGCGCCGCCCGCTGCATGCCGGGTAACGCGCTCCTTCACGACCTCTCCCCCCTCCCCCGCTATCGGTGCCCGGACAGGAGTTGTGCGTACCAGGAAAGAGCGGATAGGTAGTCGGACCCGAGCCGGGCAGTCAGTGCCGCAAAGCCACGGGGAAGGGGTGAGAGCGAAGAACTCTGGTGCGCAGCAAGAATCCGACTTCCTCGACAATCACGACAAATGACAGATGCGCTTCTCGCGGATCCCGGCGGGTCCATTCGTTCCACACTAGCATGTGCATTCCCAGTATACGCTTCCACTCTTGGAAGAGACCCAAGGACCCCCCCCCACCAACACTCCCCGTGACCAAAATCAGAGTCAGATATCCAGCTATCAGAGTGCAAAAACGTTGCAAAAGTAGTGGAGAAAAGGTACGTTGCAGCAAGGTGCTCACGGAAATCCGTAAGTCCCAACTACGACATGCAAGTGTGCCCAACTATACGCTACAACAAAAGGTTAACAAAAGTGTGTGTGGGCGCGCGCGCAATCTTACACGCGCGCCTGTGCAAAGTACTGTTGAATGCAGGCGTAAATTACAGTCCAGGATTGCCTGCCTGTCTTTCTTTGCTTAGCTGGTTCTCAGTACTCCATCTCCAAGGGAAGCCCTTTTTCCGTTGCCTTCTCGATTCCTTTCCCCAAATCTTCCCGGCTGCCCACTTGATCTCTGGTTCCTATTAGATCTTTGGATAATCAGATCCCCAAGGGCTTCTAACTCCAGATTCTTTAACAATAACAATACAAAGGGTATTTTTGTTGGGGCCAAAAATTAGATTGCTGAAGCAAAGACAGCTTGGAGGAAAAGCAAAAATGGTATCAGTTATTTAAGGTTGTTGTTGTTAGTCACGAAGTCGTGTCCGACCCATTGCGACCTCACGGACAACATTTCTCCAGGCCTTCCTGTCCTCCACTATCCCCTGGAGTCCACTTAAGCTCACACCAACTGCTTCAGTGACTCCATCCAGCCACCTCATTCTCCGCCATCCCCTTCTTCTTTTGCCATCTATTGTTCCCAGCATTAGGCTCTTCTCCAGGGAGTCCTTCCTTCTCATTAGGTGGCCAAAGTATTTGAGTTTCATCTTCAGTATCTGGCCTTCTAAAGAGCAGTCAGGGTTGATCTCTAGGACTGACCAGTTTGATCGTCTTGCGGTCCAAGGTACTTGCAGGAGTCTCTTTCAGCACCACAATTCAAAGACCTCAGTTCTTCGGTGCTCAGCCTTCTTTATGGTCCAGCTTTCACAGCCATGCATTATTTAGGGTAGTTAAAACAAATGGGGACAGTGAATAACTCTAAACCAAGAGTGGGTAGTTGATATGTCTCCAGATACTTTGTACTGTAACTTCCAGAAGCCCCTACCAGCATGGACAATGGTCAGAAAAGCTGCTGTAAACTGGGAATGAGCATGAAAATAGCAATCACAATTCAATGCAACCTTAGACTTGTGCCCTAAATGTTTCATTCTTCCCCACCACATCTAACCGTTTTGTACCTGGCCTTTGTTGCTGGTCCTCAGGGTTCTATTACAAAACAAAATAGATCCTACAAGCCTGTCTTTCTAAATGGACAGGACAACTGTGATTACTTTTTCATGCTTTTGTACTGTAAGACATACAATTGTTTAACTGTTCTTATATTCTTCTCAATGTTTTAGCATCCTTTCCTTGTTGCACACTAAAGATTATCAGTTTTTATCAATAACCTTGTATGAATCTGTTTCATGAAACCAGTGGGGTAGTGGTTTTGAGTGTTGGACTAGGACTGGGAAGTTTCTACTTAGCTGCGATGCCCATTGGATAACTTTGGGACAGCCATTAATTAATTCTAAGCCTAACCTACCCCACAGGATTGTCACCTTGGGCTCCCCAGAGGAAAAAGTGCAATATAAACGTAATAAATATATTATTGTCTGTATTTGGTGACAATTCACAAGTTTTTGATAACAGTTTTTGATCAGTCATAGACAAATGTTTTGTCTTTCACTTGGGAGTTCTAGGGAAAATATTCTAATGAAAAACCCAATTTTTCTGTTGTACAACCAGTTATGTGTTACATTTGCACAACTGCTTACACAAGCATAATATGCAACTGGTACAATGCTCTGTAAGTACAAGTGTGCTTATGCAATCACTACTTCAATTCTCTTAGACATAGTTTGGAACCTACTTGGATCCTGCCACACAGTTGGATACTGATTTTAAATACTTTTACTTGTTCATCTAGCACATGAAAAAATACAGCTCTCTTCCTCACCTTCTTTACTTTAAAAAATATTTAGATAGCCACCTATCAACCTATGTTGTTCCACATGGCTTATTTTATTTATATTGTCTTTATTAGATTTATATCTGCTTTTTTCTAATTAACTCAGAGGGGTTTACACCATTCTTCTCCTGCTGCTCTCAGTTCCCACAACAACCCTGTGAGGTAGCTTGGTCTGAGAGTCTGTGACTGGCCCAAAGTCACCCACTTGGCTCCATGGCTGAGGGTGAAATAGAACCCAGGTTGCCCGAGTTCCAGCCCCTGTTCTTAACCACCATACCACACTGGCTTAGAAAACTGGGAATAAAATACATTAAAATATTGGGGTGATGGGTTTGTGGAGCGTCATGTGAAACCAGTCATTATCAGTTTATCAAGGGCTAAGCAACCTATACTTAATCCAACTACTAATTAAGGGTTAAATGTGCATTGTTTTTCTTTGAATAACCCACAATAATTTGTTTTCCATGAAACAGCATCCTGCTCAGAGGTTATATTTTCAGAAGGGCAGCCACACATAATACTCTACATATACTCTTAGCTGCGGCTAAGATTGGGTTTATTTGCGTACAATAACCTGCCATGTTGTGCAAACTGAGTCTGCATGTTTGTGTTCTGCCAGTGCGAGGGGATTTAGCTGCAACTCCTTTCTCATCCTGTGGGTGTAACTCCAAGCAAGGGTTCCAGTGTTAGGCATATTTAGCTATCCTATATTTAGCAATGTCACTTGCTATCTGGATTACCATTGTTTTTTAATTGTTATGTTCAGCTGTATTCATATCTGTGAGCTTATTTTTTTATTGTTGTCAACTACCCAAGCCTTTGATTTAAGAACATCCACAGCCTGCCTCCCTCAGCTTGGCATCCTCCCAGATGTGTTGAACTGCCATTGAGAATTATAGGAGACTTGGTCCAACTCATGTGGAAGATGCCAGGTTGGGGAAAGTGACTATAAATGGTAAAACTTCTAAAATGCTATCAACATTTTTCTTCTTTAAGCAAGTTCTTGGTTAATTTCAAGTGGTATCCAGCAAGCTTCATAATTTTCTTGAGGTATTTGAACCGTCTCCCCCCACCCATAAAAAACCCATTTCTTGGCCCTTCTCTTTAAGGAGATGAAAATTTGTCTGCAAGCCTGCTTTGTTTCAGCAGTTTCCTTGGGTTGCATCATCAAATAACTGCCCAAGGCTTTGTTGAACTCTTGACAGTCAAAATAGCCTCTAATTTTTCTTTGCATTTTACAGCTAAGACATATATTCTAGGATAACATCTCATGACTTGGGAACCATAGAATGCAGAGTAGGTAATATGTCCTTACAGTGTAAATGGAATATTTAATCTGTGGACAGCTTTCATCCATATTAATGTTGATTGTATTTCTTTTTAATCCTTTCATGAGTGTTCTGGATGCTTTGCTAAAATGCAAATAAAAGCATCAACTCTCTGTATTGATTAGAGGTGCCAAGCATATAGGCAAATGTTAGCGTATGAAAGCACAGTGTATCTGAAGGAGTTTTCACAAGTGGCATCAAGAATACCTTTTGGTTCCCAGAGAATCACTCCTGAATGTCAATAATGTGAACCTGAAAGTGGAAGAGAGTCATTTAAAAATCAATTGTACATGATGTTTGATGTGGATGTGTGGCCTGTACTCTTGCAGTAAAAGATAGCATTTTTTGGGTGACTAGTAAAAACACCTTAAGGGTTTCAAAGAGACATTTGTGGTTCATCTTGCTGCTTCATGTGGTAGGGAACTATGAGATCCCTTGTACTGCAGGAGGAAGTCCTGCTGGCATTGTCTTCATCCAGCCTAGACCTAGGTTTCATCTAGTTCTTCATCTCCATATATTTTCATTCTGCAGTCCTAGAAAATATTGTTCATCCTTCAAAGAATACATTTTTTATCGGGAACTTTAAAGCACTCTACTCAAGGAGTGTAAGAGGAATATTTATATTTTACATCAAAGTAATAATCCATATCAGTTCCCTCAAGTTAATAATGATCTACTAATTTTAAGAAAGGAAGCTTGCAATATTAGTAGGATTTAACCTTTCATGAATTTTGAGTCGTGAAATAAAATGTGTACTGCACTATCTCTTGACCCGTGCTGCTTCTTGCTCTGTGTATTCACATAAAATAGAAGAGCCGATTGTTCCATTGTGTTTCAACCCTCCCCATTGTGTTTTCCTTATTTGAGAGGTCCATTGAAAGCTAATTAGAGTTGGGCAATGAAACACTGCACATCCAAGGCGCAAGGAGACTAACAAAGAAATTCTATGTTCTAGTTATGCCATAGATGAGAGTAATATGTGCCATCATTATGCCTGCAGAGCAGCAGCTGCATTCTATACATACTCAGGAAGAGAAAAGGAAAAGCAGAAATCCCCCAAACAGTGTAAACATTGCAGATGTGCTCCCAGCACCTTTGGAAATTTTGCCAATGCCTACCACACCAGAAACTACAATGCCCACATGAAGCCCACGTGCAGAGGAAGCCAATGGATTTGCAGTCATAGAGATGTCCTCAGCCTAGGCACCATCACACAAACAACTCCCAAGTGTCACAAGATGCTGCAATGGCCACCAACATGACAAATGGATCAGACAAGTTCATGGAGGATAAAGTTGTACTGATGGCTGTGCATTACCTCTAGTATATTGGCAAATACTAGTTACTGAGGAGCACAAGTGGGAGTGTGCT